GCTCCTGGCCTTACTAATATAGGAGCAATGTTCGGTACTAGGGGCTCCTGGCCTTACTAATATAGGAGCAATGTTCGCATTATGTGAGATGTCAGTCACTGAAGTCTATCTCGCTACGTCCTAGACAAGAAGGAGAGAAGAGGAAACATGGAAAAAATGTATGCCAGCGTCAACTTCTTGACTTCCAATGTTTGTAATAACGTTTGTAAATATATTATATTCACAGAGCGACCATCAGCTGTTTAGGAACGGCATGTAAACCACAAAATGTTTGAAACGTTCCTGATTCCCGGGTCACATGTGCAAAAACGAAGGGATATGATATATGTCATGATAAAATCCGAGGATATCAAATTTGAATCGCGTCCATTCATAGCCACGTGAAAACACACTCGGACAAGGCGATGGATAAAGGGAAAGTGGCGTGGCCAACCGGCCCGGACAAGGTGACAAAAGGGCTGGCAACGCCAAGTAGGACAGACCCGGAGGCCTGGACAAAGCCGTGACGCACCCTACACAGCGCGGCCAAGCATTGTTGTTGGAATGATTTGTTTGTTGCCCTCCAGATTTTTACTTCAATTTGCTTTCCCTGAACAGTTGAAACGGTGGCGCCCACGACAACGAATTCGCGGGTGTCGACCACGGGGTTTCGGTTTCATCCATTCGTCGAACATGCCCCGCGCTGCTGACTTTTTCGTGAACAAGAGCACTGCTTGCGCTGCTTGCTTTCTAAGCTCACTAAATCCTTTAGCGTTGGTAGTGCTGTCTATCAACCCTGCAGCCATTTCAACATCCGATAACAGATGCCGTTTGGGTGTCACACGCCATTTCCTATTACTAGCTGCCTTGTCCTGAGGGTGCGACGTCAGTCCGAAACAGCGCACAGCACATAGTGGTTTCTGTGAGCACAACGTTTTGCATTTATCCAATTTATTCCATGCTTCATTCTGTGTTTCTTGTATTCCATTTTTGTGAGGTGTTTTGATGCTTTCGTGACAAGAAAGTCCAATTGAGGGACCAGCACCCAGAGCAAACGAGTCAGTGCAAAGCTGTTGCGTGTCTCTTTCGCTTCGAGGCGGCTTTCCATCTTGAACTTCAGATGGGACTCACAGGAATGGGATTTCCAAGTTCACAGAATGAGTGACGAAGCATTCATGCTCATAGCATTCTAATTTAACTTTAATAGCTTCTTGTTACTACTAGTAAGGCACTTGTTACTACGAGCGTGGCACTTGTTACTACTAGCATGCTTGAGTGCAAAACTCATACCAGGAAACTTTGTGGAGACTGCCTTGGCAGCTCTACCCATCTCAGTTTTGCGCAAGTCCCAAAACACACCCTGCGTGCGCTTTTTTCTTGAGCTCGGCCCTGCTATGCCTTATTGTTTTTCTTGTTGTTTTGCTTATACCAAGGGCATTCTTCGTTGCACGAGTATAGCCCTTAGAGCAAGACAGAATGGCACCTGCATTCACAGAATCAAGATAGTTTCTGTTCAAAATACAAGTTGTTAAGGAGACCATCGCTATTAGGTTCCTATCGCTATTCGGTTTCTTTTGCGAGGTCCAACCACCGCACTGCTTTCTCAGGTCGCACTTCATGGCTTTTCGGACGATATCATCCAGTGCCTCTTGCATCGGAAGAATCAACCTCATTGCGCCTCATTGCTCCTAGTAGTAAGGCCAGGAGCCCCCAGTGGCTTCTTGCTACTAGTAGCGATGCCAGCCCCTAGTAGCGTCCTTGCTCCTAGTAATCGCTTCAACCTAATAGCTAATGATGTTTTCTGTTTGCAGGTACTTTTCTTTGGATTTGTTGGATAATGCATCCACATTGGTGGCATGCTGTGCTGGCTTCCTGGATGGCCGA